TGATCTATCGATGCACCTCTAACTATTACATGACGTGGGTGATGTCAACCTGCGGTTTCAAAGGAATTCTCTTGATTTTTGGTGTGTTCCTGGCCTGGGAAACTAGAAATGTGCATTATCCTTCGCTGAATGACTCCAAGAACATTGGCTTAGCTGTGTACAACGTTTTTATGTTTTCATGTTTGGCACTCGTGGTTGAGTTTGTGGTCACGTATCCTCCTCTTAAGATGCTGGTTGGACGATCGATTGTGCTCGTGGGAACCACGTCGACGATTTCTTTGCTGTTTGTTCCAAAGGTAAGAAATTGCCGGTCGTCATGTAAAGACATATTCCAAAGTAATAACACAATTATCAATCCAAGCTTTACGTTGCTTGACATTAAAATGGCGATCCAAGAAAACTATCACGTAGATCAAAAGATAACCTACAACAGTCCTTGCATTATGTGTCGGAACTTTAGAGTAATAATTTTTCGCTTTAATAGCAAAGCCTAATGATTGATGTTTTTGTTGCTATACGGTGCCCCTCTGAGGGACACCAACATGGCGTCTACAAACGGGGCTCTATAAATTTGGGAGAAACATTTCATCGAATAAAGCACGTATGAAAAACTGCACAGACCTAAACAATCTTGGCGAGGTTGTTTATCTATCAATCACCTATCATATCTCAAATTCTGGGCTTTATTTATTGAATGTTTACGATGGATATTTACGTGCCCAGATCTCTGCCTCGATACGATAGTTTCCTGCTGGTAAGTTTTAAAAGCTGTGCTTGTTCGTTTTCGCAGATTCTTCATCTCAGGAAAAATAACCAAGTGAGCATGACCACCACTGAACCGAGCAGGAGTGAATTCGAAACTTATGGAGGGACTGGCGGGCATTCCGAGATGAGAATAGAAACTTACAAGGGCACTTAGTGAAATTTAGGCCTCATTTCGCCAAAATGCCGAGTGAATTCAGTCTACGAGCCGAGCTGAAGAGGATTCAAGAAAAGTCGCCAAGCATTTCCGGGACAAAACAAGGGTTCGTTGCTATGCCTGCTCGGAGAGGTCAGGAGATTCCCCGAAACATTTCCAAAGAACGCGACGCAGTCGCAGAGGTACTGAAACAACCGATACCTGGAGTTCTTAAATCTCGAACTACGAGTGTTAAAAAGCAGCAAGAAGACTAGAAACTTCGCCATTTTCCGTTTGGGTTTGTTATAAACTTTACACGAACTATTATTGCGATTTCTCTCGATTTGAAAGTTTTTTTTTTTTTAAATCGCAGAAAATTACATATCGTTTCAGAGCTCGTTGTCGTGACAAGCTTATATATTTGTAGAGAAACCGTATGTAACCTTCATGAATATCAAGGCGATCGGAAGATCTGAATTGATAGGATGGTACTTATCGACAATATAACCAGCTTTGTAAACGGATAGCGGTCATGCCAATTCGTAGGATTTGTACAGATGTGGATTCCGAATCGTGTCTCAGCTTCACTGTCCTTTACTCGGTCATTTCCTCCACACTACGCCGGAGAAATTTGAAAACGCAACAATCACCGGTCATTGGAATTGTTTTTGCTTCTACTCAGCCAGGGAGAGATCACATGATTATCGTTGCTACATCGTTTTCGAAAATCTCTGTTGTCAAAATGTTTTCCTTCCATACAAAACCGCAAAGCCGGCGTTTTGAAATTCCTCCTGTTTGAAGAGCGTTCTCCAAAAGCTCCGTTTTCGTGACGGATTAGTGTGAACGGTAGGCGTAACCGTAGAAATGAAGCTGCGTTTTCAAATCTCTCCAACGTAGTGTGGATGGGGTCTTAATTGGGTTGCTCTTTTAAGTAACGCATTCGCGGCCTACTCTCCCTTCCAACGCCCCGTCCTGAAAAAGGCTTACGTTCGCAGTTCTCAACTGATGAAACGAACGCCTCCTTCTTCCGATTCATAGAAAATTAAAGGAAAACGAAAACCCAGTCTAACAAACTCTTTATTACCTATTTTTCGCGTTCTCTACAGTTTCATATCGCATACAAAAAAAGGTACTATTAAAATAATTTTATCATTCTGTGTTTTTAAATAAAGTTACCCGTTTACAAGATTTCGATTCAGAGACGTTGCTTTCTACATTTCAAGATTTCCTACGTAAGCCTAGGTATTCTAGTGAACTAAGTTATTTGGTTACCTGCCGTTTGATATATATTGAAAAAGAAAAAGAAATCACTGATTGAAGCAAATAGCTTATATCCCTGAACGAGTGATAGGCTATGATGGCCTATGGCTGCATTACCTTAAATTAAATACTCGCTTTTATATTTAAATCTTTACTTTCATACTTAAATAAATTTGAACGGTTGTTCGGGAAAAAAAATATATTCACCTACATGTATGAAAAAAGAACGACTATTTTTAAAGCAATTTTTTACAATTTTCTGCTTTCAATCTTTAAGACTATATTCGCTATTATGTTTCTGGAACACGAAGTTTCAAATACTACATTTATGAATAATTCTATGTTAAGGCCTGTGCCCCTGTTGATCACACAGTATCAAACGGCGACTTCCCAGCAGTGATGATTAAATAGCATCACTTTTGCAAATTAAGATAACCTCACGTTTTTACAGTATTACAAATGTTATGACACAGCTCACCTGGTGGCGGGACGTATCAAACCAAGCGATTTAAAAGATAACACATTTCAGTGGTCTGATCTTTACATAACACCAAATAGAAGTCTCAATTTTGGTAATAAAATGTAACAAAAACTTCCATCTATATCATAAACACAAGCTACCAGCAAAATGTCTTCCTTTAAGAAAGTATTGTAAGATATATACATATATGTGATCTAGCTATGTTTTTGAATTTACAGGGCGTCTTCACTGGCATTTGTTAGTTTAGTCAACAACAAGAGGTTCAAGAAAATCTCTTTCCACGATTCGTTCCAACAAGCTTTTGCCTTGCGGGTTCTTAGACTTGTTGTTTTTGTCCCGAGATTCGCCGCAGTTCTCAAACCTGTTTCTCGACAAACACTGAAAAAAGGGAAGAAGTTGATCCAAGGACTTAATGTGGTACATAGTTAGTAAAGGTTGTCCAGATACGCGCTGTAGTTCCTCAATATCACCTTGATCTCTCCTTTTCCTCTTAAGTAATTTTTCTAAGCGAGCAATGTGAGGCTTAAAAACGGGAACTTTTTCCTCCCCAGCCGTCATGTTGTACGCTTCGCCCTCAAACGCCCAACGATACAGCTGGAACTGCGACAGATAATCGCTCGGCAAGGCCTGAGAGAGATCAAGAAGTTTACAGACCGCTAGGTAGAGACCTAGCCATTTCTCTTGACTGTAGTTCACATAGCCGTTAGAACCGAGCAGTAACTCGGATATGGCCATCCTCTGCTTCTGTGATTTGCCATCAGTGCTTAGATCGCTCTCCATTTGAAGCAACACATGCACCACTTCCGACACGATCGTCGGCCACAATGGCGTCAGGTGCTGCGCAGACATGCGCAATATCAACACCCGAAAGAACAGGAAGATTTGTTCGTGGACGACTGGAGACTGGGGCAGCCTCAGGCTCTCGGCGAGGCGCTCCTGTATTTCTGGCAGAACGTACTGGTACTGGTCAACCTCGCTACAGAAAATTGTGAATGACAGTTTCTTAAGAAGTTGAGCGCGTTGTTCCATTTCCTACAAAACAAACAACAACAAAAACGTTAAACCACAGATTAAACCCTAGAAAACAAAGAACCATAACAAAATGAGTCTAAAATGGCATAGAGGGCAATGTACCTGTTCTCTGTTAGCAAAGATGTTAATAGAAGCACTCTGACTCAAGCCAGCCACACGCGTCATCAGTTCTTTGAATGACGTGTTGTCTTGCGTCATCAAGTTATCGATAATTGTCCGCCAACTTCCAATGCATGAGATGTCCATTTGAAAGAAATTCGGGTCCAGTAACAGTTCCATGACCTCTTTCTTCCAAGCACGGCGGGTGTACTGGTACCCACTTAAAGAAGCCAGCAGGTTGCAGCAGGCGCGGAAGCTCGGCACGTTGTGTGGGCTGGAATAAACAGCAAAAACAAAACGTAAATAAACCGTATTCAAAATAGCCGCCATGATGGTCTCCAAATTTGACATTCGGCACCAATCTTACAGTACCGCTCGGAGATAAGCAAACCATCAAACGCGTTTTAAACTCGCTGACAAAAAGAAGTCAACGCGTCACCAACACGTTTGGAAACTCGTTTTTCATCAACGCGATCTGCCTTAGATATTCATTTTGTCAACTCCCATTTTTTTTACTTTTGTGCACTTTCTCAACCTGGTCACAGGACGCTTAGAACTGAATTGAAGATGGTGTGATTTAAAACTCTGCCTCGATTGAAATGATTTCAATCTTCGCCCATGTTCCTTCGAATCAAAGGAAAACTAAGTACTGCAGAAGTGTAGTCGAGGGCGAGACAAAATTAAACCTGGAACACAAAATCGGCGTAACGAAAACTCCAATGATGCCTTGTTTGCCAACCCCAACCCCAATCCTAACCCCTCTAAAAGATCACCAGCTCAATTTGTATCATAATGTGAAAGCCAATATGGTGGCGATTGTGAATAAGGGCTACTAATAAACGGGGGTGGACAACGCAACAAAGACATCATGTTATTATATTGGGAAGGGCAAAGATAATTTACCTGTGATTCTTGAGAAACGGCGTCACATTGTACATAACAGTTGTCAGAAAACTCGTCATTCGTTCCTTCTCATCGCTTCCAAACACCATATCTAAGACTGGGGCGAGCACTTCTGCCAACACGAAGAGAGCCTGGGTACTATAACTGCTTGTATTGCTGGTATTACCGCTGGGTACAGGGGGAGGTGGCACTGGAGGCTCGGCCTCCGAGATTTCGGATTCGACGTTGCTTGATTGGTCGGATGCGACATCCTGTTGTGGGATGACAGCCAGGGTTCGTCTGAACCACGCCGCGTTTTCCAGTGATGAACCCGCCACCGTGTTACACGCCTCCACTAGGCGCTGTGTAATGTCCTGGTTAATTTCACAAATACGAGACATTAAGAGTTGTCGTAGCTTTTATTTATTGTACCGTGTTTCTATCGAGTTTTAGTATATATCTACTTGTGTTCTATCAAGAATGGCGTTCTCTGATTGGCTACACTACTCACTATCTAGTGAGTTGCGGAGCAGTGTGAGTTTGCTACCAAAACGACGGCAATTTCTTTGCGTTTCCGCAGTGTCAGTGAAGTGGATTTTGATAAAGTTTTGAACGACTAGTACATTTATACTAAAATAATTAGATCATTTGCTCTCGATTTCTGAGTGATAGTTGACTCGGGCTGCGTCATCGTCAACTATCACGCGACAGAAATCTGAAGTTTGAGAGAACGAGAAATGCTGTGACGAGCCGACAGGCGACTATATCCACAGCTTTTCGAGTTCGAGTTCTCCCAAACTTCCCCTAGTGATAGAAACACGGAGAACATTTTTCTATTGCTTTTAGAAAACACCGCGACGGAAAAAAGAAAACAACTTGTTACTTTGATCATCAAAATGTAAATCCTCTTTGCTGGCGCCATTATTACGTCAAAAGCTCGTGATAGTTCTATGTTTCATCGAGTTATGCAAATAGTAAGCGTATTTTCTTTAGGCTCGTTTCTAATGTAATATTGAGTGCACTAGACGCCGCGGGCCTAGCAGTCCAGGTTGGATCTCTTGCTAGGGTCTCAAGCAAAAAACATAATTCTGACAGTGCGGAGAATTGAATGGTAGGGAGTTTAATTTTGTCCCGGGGTGGATTATCATCCCACTTGAGGGGGAAGAGAAAAAAATAATACTAGTAGTGGAATCATGCAACTAAAACACGAGATAAGAGCAGCGCTGGCCTGAGGGATACCTCAAGCTTTATTCCCTTGCTTGAATAGAGAAGACAGAAACTGATCATCAAACTTGTGTTTTCCTTATACTATCATTTTCTGCATATTCTTACAACGCCCAAGGAGGACAAGCTATGTCAGGGATAACGCATCTTGAAGAATTTAAACCCAAGAATTTCAAGCTTGTTGTTCGTAACCGGTACGAATCGCACCCAGAATTATTCATCCTTGTTCCATATTATTAATTAATCTAACTGGTGTTTTTCTACCTTAGGAAGCTGCTACTTTGAGATTTCCGACGATTAGAAGGCAATTTAGTACATCACAAAAATATACTTCGTAAATTTTCATATATCGCAACGTAGTCGCCGTTGCAATCACCTGTGCACATGTCTCACAGATCGCGTTTTCCTTCCAGCCGCACTAGACTGGACTCTGTGAGCTTTTCAGTCTGTTTTTGTTGCATTTTTAACTCAGTATCAAAATCTACATTTTGTTTCGATTTAAACAAAGATGAACTTGCATGCACCAGGATCTCCTAAATAGGGTGAACTCACCTCTCTATTCACACTACAGTAAATCAAAATGAAAACATGTGTTACCTGTAACTCCTTTCGCACTTTCTTGTCCTCTTGTAACGGTATGTTCTGCACGTATGACCGCAAGATAACCAATAACAAGAACAGTGCTGGAGGAAAGTTGAGCTGAAGCCCTTCCTTCATGAGAGATAAAAGAGAGGATCGCACAACAATCAACTGGCTTTCCGATGCTTTGAGCAAATACTCGTACAGAAACTGCAGTATGTTGACTTCCAGGCCTGACTGAGTGGGTGTGGTCTTGTCTTTGCTCATGACAACTTGGCGCAGGATCTGTTTTACATTGTCTATCATGTCTTCTACTGACAACGCCTGTGAACAAGGATAAGTTATACGTTAACCGTGAAGGCTAAGGGTGATTTAGAATATTGGCAATTAGTGGCTAGCAGGTGTCTCTTGTTAAAGCACCATATTGTCCATAAGTACTGTGGAGACAGCTAACGTTCAGCCACCATTCAAATGAAAGCTATTGAGCAGAACTTTTAAATAAAACTGTTTACTGTACAATGCGACTCTTACTTTTAAGTCTGTGGATGAAACCCTAGTGGGTCGCTGCCATTCAAGTGAAAGCTACTGAGCAGTACTTTCATACGGTACTGTTAATTATGCTGTACAAAGTGATTTTCACTTTTAAGTCCGTGGATAAAACCCTAGTGTGTCACCATTCAAATGAAAGAGAATGAGCAGTAAATTCATATGGTACTGTTAATTACACGTATACAGTACAATGCGACTCTAACTTTTAAGTCTGCTGATGTGGCCATTCAAATGAAAGTTTCTAAGCTTTGTTTTCATGTGGCACTGTTTATTATGTTGTACAAGGATATGTTTACTTTTAAATCTCTGAATGAGTCTCGAGTGTATGACCCCTTAAATGAAAGACGGTGAGCAGTTTTTTGATCACTGAGGAACTATCAGTTTTTCAATAGTTGGTAAATGGAAATCTCCTTAAATATTCTTCAAGACTTGCGCTTTGAAAATTGATAAGCTTGCATTAAGAAAAGAACTCTTTTCAAAGATATTTCTACCTTGATAGCGTACACGATATCTACAACGATAATCTGTTCTTCAGAAGCTAATGGGATTGCTCTCGTTGCCTTGATCCCAGATCCCTCTCGCCTCCGCCGTTGATACCAAACGTCAGCCAGCGAGGCCAGGAATACAATGGTGTGATTCATGGTGATTGGGGTCAGCAGCTGAAGGATCTGTTGTTGTACAGCCTGAAAATGAAAGACGATAATACATTGAATAAACACTTTTGTTTCATTTCAATTGGAGGAGAACGTGTCACGCGTCATGGGTCACAACTCACTAACTCCCTTGGGAAACAATAACTTGAACTTTCGACTAACACGTGATCAGGTCGTACACTTTTAAACCGCGGCAAATTATGCGCCAGACGACGTCAAGAAAATTATTTTTTCGCAGGTTGTTCTATTTTTACACTTGACTGGCCCCACAGGGAACAGTCGACCCTCACTTTTTCCCTTAGGGCCAATCGTTAAGTGTTTAATGTTACACATCGGTGGTCAGTAGCTAAGTTAACGAAGGACCTTTCATCCAGAGCTTAAGTTGCTATGCCTACCTTTGGACTGCCCATCAAATTGAGCGGACATTCAGATGGAAGCCGCTGGCCGGTTGAATCAGTCCTTTGAGGACTCCACGTGCTCCAAACCGTGAACAACGAGGACAAAATTTTGGGCAGAACGCTCAGCAAGCCTTCCCGGGCGTCCAAAATGTGCTTTGGCACTTCCACGCTGGGTACATCACTGATTGGCGCGGACTGCACTGAAAACGCGTGCAGGAGATTGGTGAAGACAGAGCTACCACTGGATTGGATTAAGTCGCTATTCACACCCACAGCGGGCGAAGAGTTGGACCGAGCGATCCGAGGCTTCAGAGAGAGGGCTGGTGACTGAGGTGTCGTGTTGTCACGCAAGCAGTAGTGACATATTGATGCCAAGCTTTCCAACAGGGTTACCATGTAGTCCGGGGGGACATTGGAAGCATCAGTTTCAGGTCGTCTGTTTGTGAAAAAAAGTCTTGTTAACACAGCAGAACAAAGTCTGAAAGAACAACTTCTTTGCTATGACTATTACCAGTATGTTCAACATTAAAGATAATAGGACTTTTTGTCATTTCTTCAAGTGAGCGTCGATGACCAGTTACCGACCATAGATATCGATATTTTCAATCTAAAAGACTGTTATTACATATATAACCCAGTATTCTGATGAAACTTCCCCATATCATCGGAACACTAATTATTGTATTTTAGAGATCCCTTTTTACCTTGTGCCAAACTCATCATTACTGCCTCTCCTGGCAGACCTTTTGTCCTTATCCTTGATGTACAGAGTCGTCAGTCGTTCTAGAATCCGACACAAGTGCTCAGCCACAGGGACTACCCACGTGCGCAGCTGCATTGCCATGTGTGACAAGCACGTGATCACGAACTGCAACCACTCATAATGCATATCGGGCTCATCATGCCTGAGCCCGTGAAGAACCGCTGACAACAACATACCCTGCTCCGCTAATGGCTTCCCAGGAAGGTAGCGATGAGCCGACTGAGTAACTTTCGTGTCACCGGAAACCTTCGCGGGACTCTCGGGTTTGCTCGGAGGCGGCGTGCCGTGGCTGCCGGCAGTTTCTTGGGAGATAGTTACAGCGGAGTGAATGTAGGATTCTAGGATGAACACCGACTGAACAAGCTTGACTAGTTTGACCTGAAACGCTTGCGCCTGCGATTGGCTTATTTCTGAGCTGACGTGCACGTGACTGGAGTTAACAGTTGGTGAAGAAGACTTGCTAGACGTTCTCACTCCGGTTCGCTCGTACAAAGTCGAAAGAAGACAATGAAGCAATGCCTTTTGAACTTTACAACGAGAGAACATGTCACTGATGTATGTCCCAAATCCAGCACCGCTCTCCTTCACGACCTCGACCAGTTGCCACATAACACCTAACAGAAGCTCCGTGCTCGCCATCTGAACCTGAACATTGCCGTCTATGTCTTCAGGTTGCACTTGTAGATGACTAGAATACTCGCTTCTAATGAAGTACAGACTTACAGAGATGAGAACTTCAAGGTACTTGCTGGTGCTGGGCTTGAGGTAGATCAAAGGGCCCCCGAAGAGGCGTGCGCTGTGAGCAGGTCCTGAAAACGAATCAAATATCACCACATCGTTTTCTAAACGGCAAACTGCTCCACGACTAAAAGGACAATCCTGACTGGTTTCCTGAGTTTTCCGAATTTTGCAAAACGGAACGCTAACGACTGATTTTCGTCAAAGTAATTTTTCAAAACACTACACAGACGAAAAAAGGTTTTCAGTCGAGTGTAATTGTTTTTCTCTTGATATGTGGCGGTCAATTTAAGTTAAAGAAAGCGGCAAGGGTCCCACTGAATGTTCTACTGCATTTTCATTGCTGAAAATGTAGTAAGCTAATTAATTATCTGTATGTTGGGGACGTCAGTCTCTTTTTCGCTGGCCCCCTTTATACACGCCGATCGGTTTCTCACCATTCAGCATAAATGAAAACGGACCTCTTCGGCGATACGGCGGCCATTTTGAATTCTATTGTTTCAATAGTTATTCTGGGATGCTCAGGGGGCAAATCAGTATGTATTTACCCCCTAAGCATCCTAGCTATTTGAACCAATAGAATTCAAAATGGCCGCTGCGTCGCCGAGGTCCATTCCCACACACCTGTCGGCGAAACAGGACTGTCGTACAAAGCGCCATAAAATCCCTTCCCCAGTAGGGACCGTCGGTGTCTGATCAACAGCTCCTTGATCTTCTCCTGGTGTGGCGTGTTCGATGAACTGATACTTGTGGTGGATGACGCGCACACGAACTGGTGAGGAGCGCGCATCAGGATTGTTTGCAGCGTGCTGAAGGCGTACAAGGTCAGCTGAGAGTCGTAATGTAAGATGTACAGAAGTTTGTGTTGGTCCAGCGGATGGACAAGTGATTTGCGCGGGGGAGGGGACTGTGGGGCTTGGTTAGGTAAGTCGTCTTTTTCCTTTCCTATAAAGTAAAAATGGTGAAATTCTCAGAGATCACATAAAGTTTGACTCCGACAAGCCTTTCCTGCAAAAGGACATTTGCAATCTTTCTTCATGCACCCAGGTTGTGCAGATAACCACAAAAATCTTTGTAACTCTGCTCATGATCGTTATATTAACAAAATATTATGCGCCCGCCAACGCAGCGAAAGTATGTTTTCATGAACGCAGCAAAGATTTTAGGATGACTAAGGTTTCTGTGTAAGTACAAAATTGTCCGAGCACACCAACTTAAAACTTAAAAAACAAGGTTAGTATATCGCACCTTTTTTCGGTTCGTTGTCTTCATTCTCATCGTCAGCCTCAGCTCCATCACCGTCCGTATCCGTCGAATGTTCGACTTCACTCGGCCCACTCGGACTTGTGGTTTTACTATCGCCTGATTCCCGAGTGCTCTCCGAAGTAAATCCTGGTTTTCGGTTGACCTTTTCGTTCTTTTGTTTACCCAAAGTCGCGGCCCCGATTTCTGTCTTCGGATAAACTTTGACGTCGTTAAAGGTTTTCCTCTCGGATCCTCGTGCATTAGACATTTTCCTAGCCATTTTGGAGTCGAACAGGGAGTACAAATAGTGGATTGAAACCCGTGCTGTAACTGGATGAAGTAGCAATAGAAGAAGTGGATCGATAATTCGCCCGAGGTCCCCGTGCTGCAGAGCATGGGCGAGCCAGTGTTGAGTTAATACACTGGGGAGGAAAAAAAACCAAAATAAGGATTATTTTTTTCATTTATAGGACGACCTCGCGTTCCTTTGCTTTATGTTGATGGGGGGAGGGGGACATCAAGTATCAAAGAAGTTCGTAGTATATCACCGGTAGTTTCACCTGTATCGCACTTTCGGATTTATTCTAACACTGACCTTAACACTTTAATAGCTATTACCTTTGCATACTCAGGAACGAGGGTACAGAAGTGTTTAAACCAAACAGCTAAGTTATTTAAATCTCACTTTGACTTACCTTATTTCTGGTTCTTCATTTTGCAGGCTATCAAGCATAATAAACAGTGCTCTACGATAAATCAACGTAAAACATGAGAAAAGTTTATCAGAGGATAAAAAAACTGTTAACGACAATGAGAACTTCCCCAAATGAAGGCCGAAAGAGGGTTAAAACATGGCTTTGCATCTGCGTTTACTAAACAAGATACTTTTCTTAGCCGTCTGACTCTCCGTGTTTGCAGATGAACTACGACGGAGAATTTTTCGTGCTGCTTTCTACTTCCAGCAGAGGAAATGATCTGACTCCGATATATTAGGCACCTTAAGATACCAGGACGGGACGAACTAGGACGGCTACCGGAAGTAAATTTACTCAACCGGGCATTCGCACGAGAACTCTCGACTCATCACTCCGCCGTCCTCGTCTCGTCGAGGACGCCATTTCCCCCGACTAGCCGTCGTATCGAAAACGTGAGTACTTTGCTCTTGTTTTGTCCCGACAAATGTTCCAATCGACCTTATTTTCGGTTATATTGATAAGAATGTTTATAAGGTTCACATTTTTCGTGATTGTAGTGTAGAATACTACGCTGAGATACGAAAATGTGAATAAAAATATTCCTTGTCTTTCGTTTGTATTTCAGTCATTGTTCAGACGCTGTCACGAGTGTGCAAGCTCAAAACTAAATACAAACTGTATGCATTGAGAATACATCAGTGTAAGTACTATCGATAAAATGTAGTAAGAATGAATGCCATGGAAGAATCTATCGAGCAAATAAAACGCACCATTTCAAACTGATATTTAGTTTTTTTTTATACTACCCGGATCGAACTTGATGCAACGTTTGTTTTATTTTTATAAGGCTTGTTACAATCACAGATGGAAATTGAAATATTCACCAAACGTCTTATATTCAATATTCTTCTGAAACGTTCTGGTGGAAAAAAGCCATCTGAAGCTGGTCGACCAGATTCATACGGAAATTCAGGTTTCTCTATTAAAATATTGACAGATGTTTGCTTCGCTTATAAAGAAAAAGAAATTCAGCATCGCTGTTCACTATCGTATAAGCTTGATAGGATAAGATTTCTCTTCTTTTATAGTCTAAAGGATGTCATTGCTTCCGGGAACAGCTTGTGCGAAGTTCGAATTATTGACGTCACCGTTCTTTACGAAAACACATCTAAAGTATTTTGTTTTTGGTGACCCAACGGGACCCGCGAAAGTTTCCCGCGTCCACTGCCGTTTCAGTCCTGGCCTTCCCGTCCTCGTATCTTAAGGTCCCTATTGACAAACTGAACGGGATCTATAAAGCCTGTTTTCACTACGACATAAGCACAAGCATAAGAATAATCATAGTGGTAGTGAGGACGCACACAACACAAGCATAAGCACGTAGGCATGCGCAGAATGGGTCGCTTCCATTCCTCCTTACAGCAGCGTACTCTCACTTGACTTACACATAAGCACAAGAAGAACAAAACTTTTTGTTCTACTTGTACTTATGCTTATGTTGTGCACGTCCTTACTACCGTGTGCTTGTGCTTATGCTTATGCTCATGTTTGTGCTTGTGCTTATGTCATAGTTAAAACCAGGCTTAAAATTGTGAGACATTTTTAATAGAAATTCATTGTTTCAATCGGCGTCATCGTTGTGGTCAAACGCTAACCCCCACACACATCAAGAGGATATAAGAGCACGGAACATTGGCACAATATTGCAGGTTTTTACCTGTCAAGTGTTCGGAATTCCCCAAGTCTTGATGTCCTGCCAGAATCCTGAATTACGACATTCCTGGCAACATGCCAGAATACAGCGAATTTCCAGTGACCCTGTAGAGACACTCCCTGAAATGATAAGATAATGAAGCTCCAAAAAGGTTAGAATAACAAACATAGGGGAATCTCTTCTTAGAATACAATATTTGTCCCATTAGCGTTAGCAGCTCGAGCTACAAAAAAATCAACTTTGAGTATTGGAAGAGTATGGCACGATCACGGGTCCAAAGAAAATTGAGCAGATTCTACTAAATTTATTTTGTGTGATACGGGTTGAAAAACTCAAAACTGATTGCAAAGAACCCATGAGCTCATTAACGCTTTTGCCACCAGACATTTTGCAATGTCCTCCAAAAAATCGCACCCGAAGGTCTCAAGAGCTCTTTATAATGTTTGGGGTCGATTCCAATCTAGCAATAGTACATCTGCACGCAAATCCGCACGTTCATGAGGAAAACTGATAACAACGATGTCAGCAAAGATTTCCCTATACAGAAAAGCAATGGAATAAATATTGTTCAAATAAGGAAAAAAACTACAGATTGAAGCCTTTGGCTCACGTCGGTGGACAACTGAAATTAAAAAAAAAAAGAAAAAAAGTCGAATTTGACTTAATGCTACTGTTTTAACTCAATTTTACTGTCCGTTAAAAATAACGTATATGGCAGCACCATGAGGCAAATACGGTTTGTCATTTACCTTGCTGATATCTACCAGTGAATTTCCAATGACATTTGCGCAAAGAGATGGAGACGGAGTCAAATTGTGAAGCTGTAAAAACAGTTCAACTATTCTCTGATGGAACTGGGTGGTGTCTACCTTGAGATGATCCCACAAACTTTCGGCTATCACCTGTTATTTAGGAAAAAAGTTTACAAGTTAGAGGTGAGTATTCCGAGTCGATTTGGATCTGTATTTACCTATAACGGTGCGGCTAAATAAATGCGACCCTGACCACAAATCAAAACTCCAGATATCCTATTATGGACATTTAAGTGTGGGATACAATATTTTTTAGTTTTAGGTTATGCTGGTTTTGACAAGCTTGTTGGGCGAGTTCATATTCAAATCACGAGTAAAACGTAACAACGACACAGCTTGAAAGCCAGACTTAACTATGCATCATGAGGTAATGAATTCAGCGCTGCCACCCACCGGAACAAAAAAAATATTCCCGACTTTTCACTGACTATATTTGGCGCCTGTAAGGCAATTTTCACTGACCTTGCAGGATGATTATTCCGGCCATGAATCAAAAAAAATGAGGATGGCTCAAACAATTTTTTTTTTTAAATCGCCTTGTCTATACGAGAACATCTAATAATATAATTTGGGGCAACTTTAAGATAAAATTCTCTGACTTTTCGCCGACTTTGAACAGGGATTTAGAAATTCCCTGACCTGATACAAACCTCCCTAACCTTGAATAAAATCTAATTTTCCCTGACTTTCCCTGACCGTGGTAACCCTGATGATCTAGCTAATTGTCAAGTATTATGCATACGACAAACTTTTCAAACAAAATATTTCTGAACCATACCTCGTACAAATCCGACTTCTCAATCACCCCCAAAGACTGCTTGGAAATCATTGGGATAACCACCACGGGCGCGGAAGGCCTGGGTCCATGGCCGTGGCCAGCATTGACAGATAGCGTCAGGTTGATCAAGTCGAGAAGCGTGCCAACCGCTGAACTTTGGATATTAAACTCGCTGACCTCGAAACAGCACATGATTAGAGACTGCAGCCATTCTGGGAGATACGACACCTTGGAGACTTGATCGGAAAGAAAACAGTTACTTATAAGTCAAGTTACATTAAGTATAGAGAGAAAAATACTGTCTAAGTACTGTCTTGATCCACATTCTCTAAAAAAACGTTACAGTCTATGTGTACCAATCAGTAAATAAAAAAGAATTAGTCTTTTGAGCCCGAAAATTGCCGGTCAATGTTACACACCTTCTTTTATATCAGTTGTTGTTCTCTGTGATTCCGAATCCTTGCCACCCCAGACTGGAAAGCACGACAATTTCAGCAACAGTTTACAGGCTGCCGCAAATGCCTCGGCACAATTCTTGGACGATTGCACCGACCTGAACGAAGCAACGAGCGCGGTCGGTCCAGTAACATTTCTTCTCGCCTTCAGATTCGTTTGCGTCTTACAGGCGTCCTCGACAAGTTCATCCCTTGTTACATCACACGCTTTTTCGATTTGTTTCCACATGGCATCGCTAACGATTCCACTCGCCCGCAAAGTCGTGTAACATTCTTTGCTCATCATTCCTGAAGCGCTTTCGTTGCTAACACGAAGCGAGTTGACGTGTTTTATCACTCTTTCCACAACAAACTTGGCGAAGAAATTCTGGAAATATTTCACACAAGCTTGAATGAGAGACGGTTGAAAGAGATGCTCAGAGTTCTTTGGTAGCACGTTCTCTCCAGACTTGACAAGAGTCTTATCTCGTCCATCTGCGGGATTCACAGCATTCAAATCACTTGAAGATTCCACCTCTTGGAAGTCGCTCCATTCATCTAGCTCGTCCTGAGTATCTTCGTTATTATCCGCTGAATCAATTCCAGCATCACGTTGCTCTGCCAATAAATTCAATTCCATTAAATTCAATTCTTTTTCATTCGACTCCACAACCGAGTCTATTTTTGTGTCTTCTTCCTCATCGGTATCTTCACTTTCAGCCATTTCTTCAACGAATACCTCCTGAGAACTTTCCAGTGAGTTTTCTGGAGCACGATCGACCTTTTTGTTGTCCTCCTTAGCACTTTTTAAGTCGATTATACTCCACTCCTTCAGCTCATGCTCTGCAGAACCTTCCAACTCTTTTTTTCTATCTTTATTCTCGGCGTCCCATCTTGAGTCGTTCCTCCCTTTGTCTCTGGTCTTCATAGAGGGCATCACCTTGGAGAGAAGTCTGGAACACAGGCAGATCCCTTCTTTAACATCCTCCAGAGTCATTGTCTCGCAGCGTTTTGTCATTTCGATTGTAATCTTGCGCAGAAGTTCAGGCCAGTGTTCTGTTTGGATCTCCACATCGGCTTCCTAGATAAAGGGAAACAAAAAATACTGAAGATTAGTGTCTGATGGGTTCTGAGTCCTCTGTGTATCTCAAACGATCTCGAAGAACTTTAAGACCAGCAGTAGAATTTAGCTGTGTATGGAGCATATCATAAGGAGCAGCCATAATGCTCTGTATTTGTAAAGGATGTTCTTTGGAGATTATTTCCAGAACAAATTACCTCACAATTTCCGTTTGAGACAGATAGTTTAGCTGTCATAGTAAACAACACTGGTGGCTTAATAGAGATTTGTCGGCCAAGATACACTCTTTAAAGAAGATTCACTCTTGTTTAAAGCAGATTTAAGAAGACCAAAAAGAGAAGACGAAATGGATTTATAGCATCCGTGCTACCGTTTAGATGGAACTGAAGAGCGCTTAAAAGTAGAGCTGCATTGTACATCGTCCCGAGTCTTTTCTTTCGAGTCTTTTCTTTGTTTTTGGATTAAACTGATTACTTTCGAATCAGAGAAAACCTGAATTCAAAATAATACTATATTAGGGTGGCCAAAGGTCAAAGTGATAAAAATAAAACCAAATGAAAGAAAAATAATTGAGATTGGAAAGATTAAGATTGCCACCTTGAGGATACTACTCGACTTACCAAAGTAACAACGTCCAGAATGAAATCTGTTAAACGAAACACTTCCGAGCAGTTTGTCGTAGATGGAGTAACAACAAATTTACTCTCCTTGTGATCTTCCCAGTTTTCAACTCCATTGACCTCCTCGCTCGCTACTGGTGGTCTATCGCATTCCGAAAGCAACTTGGCTATGTATTCCCACATAAAGTATGGTTCGAAGGCATTGAAGAGCAAGTTGGCTGTTTTAATCAGTTCATCTATCAGCTTGGTCTTCGCAGACTCTGCAATAGCCGCGCCACTATCAAGAACCAGGCTCTCGATCGAGTCCCTTCGGTCACTCTCTTCAAAAGTGGCATCATTTTCTCTTAGCACTTTACACTGATTGTACAATGCCCTGAAAACATCGAGTAAAACGTCTTCAAGGATCGAGCCGCCGATTTCAGGTTTGTCCAAAAGACTGATTAGCAATCGAAATGGTTTCAGCACTTCTAACCTCTGCGCTTTCTTAGATCCATTGGCATCCCCTTTGTCGACAGAGTCGTGATTCTGAAACAGTCTCCTTACGGCCTCGATTACAAGCGGCCTCGAATGCAAGCTGAAGAAGGTCTCCGTCGGCCCTTCGTGATCAGCATCGCTACTACAAACGCTATCGGTCCTCGATAACGATTCATTCTTTGCTGCATTCGTTCCTAGTAGCCATGTGTAAAGACGTCTGTTCAAAGACATGTCTCTTCGTAGCAAGACTTCTAAGGCAGCTGCTACCAACGTCACCTTTTCGTTGGACAGGAGATAGTTTGTATCCACCGGAAGAAACGCAAGAAGAAAATCAAGCATACTCCGCTGGACGAGAACACTGCTGTCTCTAAGAGCCACACTGACTGCTTGAACCTGTTGAGAAAAATTGTGAGATCTAAATTTGGTCGTTTTTATTTTGATCTCTCTGTGTTAAGGCGACCTAACCAGAATGGTAGGAGGAAGCAACATTTCTTGCAGTCACTTCCTGTTATAACTGCTAAGTTTAAGACTACATTGTGCAGAATGTCCAGAGCTCATCCCAGTTTTCACAGCATAAACCGATCTTAAGGCTACAAAGCCCAAGAAATCTAGGATAAGTATGGCAGCCACCAAGAGAAATATTAGAGCTACATAGCTGACTGCATGCATTACAGGTACATGCCTACAATGGCGGATTAAATTGAGGAATTAATTATCAATAACTTTTGTTACTTACTAAAACATGGATATCATTTCCTACGAGGTATTTTTGTTTTCCAGCTCCTTTCTTATTCAGTCTTGTTAGTATAAAGGTGACAGCTGGCAGGCGAATGGTAGCTGATGAATAAATGCACCCCCAAAGGGTCGTGTAGAAAATGTTTTTGTCCGTGTTCTCACTGAAGGAGCCCAGCAGTGAAATAGTCCTATGCAAAACAGCAGAAACAATGAGTCAATTTATATTTTAAAAAATAAAACATACAAGTAGTGTCTAATATTATTTTTAGATACTTATTCACCTACATATAGTGCCATTGACTCCTGACAACAGCATCACACATTTTAGTGTCATAGCAAATTTGTACTTGACAAGTTCCTAGACCATCGTAATGGAATCATCCACCAGATATAAGGCTCAATTGTTCTGAAAATTGCTTTAATTTGAAATTTTAAAATGAAATTGAGGATTTTAACAAGCTGTAAGTAGAACAGTATAAATATGAAAGTGAGCTGTTGAGGTCATAAAACAAAGTGTACACCATCAGTCATTACAAGAGAACCCAGCAACCGAAATATCAGGTACTGCATCTCATTTAATAACCAATTTTATTAAAGAATTGTCATGAAGGTTGAGTCAGGAAATAAAAATTTCATATAAAGGCTTGTTATTCAGGGCTTCCTACAAGGCCTGCTGCCAGAACTACTACATGTAATTGGTTCTATTAATTTGAAAAAATAATAGCTGACAGTTAATCATTAACTTAATATGTTTGAGGTGACTATATGATCAAAATACATGTAGCTGTAGAATCATTTGCATTCAAAGATGTCAGCCTGCCAAACAAAATTCATGCAATGAGTTACCTGCAAGGAATTGATCACCAACTGGATAGATGTTCATTGTATCTACAGTTAGTACAAACCTGTCAGTGTATTCAGACCCTTCTTCAATTCCTGGTAAAAGTCCCAACAGCAATCCTGGTAAACCAGGAAGCAATGCTTTTCCAAGCGGAAGGAAATAGTTCTCATACATAGTCATCAAAACAGGCCTAGTCGACATGGCAGCATTTCCCAGCAAAGGAAAAAGTCCAGCGCTGTAAATGAATAAATCTTGCGCGAGCCCTTTGTGGCCAATCCGTTTGAAGATGAGTTCGTAAGTTTCTAGTGCCTTCAGATGCACTCCACTTGGCAGTGTCGGGTGCATACATTGAGCTAGTCTTTTTCCAATGGTGAGCTTTCTTGGTAGTACCTTAAATTTTGTGTGATTTTGTAACACCTGAAAAGTAAGTGACATGTCATATGGTATCAAATGTTTTTTGATTTAATGCCGGGTCCTGAACAAACGTTGGGTATCCCAAATAGATTTGTAAATAGGACCCTCACGTTATTTATATCCAAGGTATAACAATCTATAGGGATAATTATAAGATCTTTAGCTCTCAAAAATAATGAAAACAAAACCTCTGATAAACTCCAGGCTCAAATAAACAGTAAAAGCCAAATAAATGCTGCATTCACAAGGCCAAGTTTGAAATAAATGCTGGGGGTGTTTGATAGAGAAAGTATGGTACATGTACATGTATAATCAGGTGCGAGGCAACTGATCGACTATCTTTTACTAACACTGTGCACAGAGCAGTCAATGAGTTTTGCTTTAACTGTAGCCTTCAGATCTTCACAACCGTAACAAACTTGACAATTTATGGGTGAATTGTATCAGCTACAGGCAAGTTCACCCATAACATCACAGGCCCATCACACATACTCAGCCTAAACAGGTGTTACAGGTTACGGCCCTTATTGACAGCCCCAGTGTACAAAAAGTGTACAAAATAAAACTATTGTTCAGATGGTGAAAGCATGTTGACATTAACCTGATGCAAATTTTACAGCTACATGTATGTAAGGAGAAAGTTCTGGAGAATTTCAGACCTAACATCTTTGCATCAAACTTTGTTATTTCAACCCCAAGCCAGAAATGATTTCAAATTGCAGACCAGAACATTTTAACACAAGGAATACTCAGATTAACAGGAATTTTAAAAAATACCCAATTAAATTTAGTGCAAAGGTGCTAAAAGCTTGAAAAGTAAACTTCCATATAGACAAGCGTAGGGTGCATTTTGAGCAACTAACTATGGATAACATCTATTAAAAAAAATCCCATCTTGGGCAATAAAAGATGGAACTGTTGCAAACTTTCTTCGCGGATCACAAATTCTAATACAGAGATAAATGTTGAAAATTGGGAAAAAACTTATTGAATACATGAAAAACTCAGGTCATCAATGCTCTCTTTATAGCTGACTTGGAAGGAGGAACATTAATCACAGTTGTCTTTATTCTTGACATAAACCATGTCATGGTAATAACTGTCTGAAATTAGTGTTTACATATAAGAATCCAATGACAGCTAATCCAACGAGTCGAGCATTTTCGAATCTTATTTGTATAGAACTAAATAACATGCGCGCGTTTGCATATTATTAATTCTTGTTTAGTAACAAACAAGGAATTCTCTGTTTATACTGGCGCCCGCCTCGTGAAGTAAAAAGATATTTTAAGTTTACAGTAACTTACCTTGTTTAATTTTCCGAGAGCAGAAATCAGGTCCGCCCACTCACTCGAATACTCAAAGCTTTTAAGAGCTTTTTCGACGGCGTTGATAAACTGTCGATACTTCGAGTCTGATAACAGTTCCAGCTCCTCGGTATTCATCGTCTTATAAGCGATTGAACATCAGACAAAGAATAATTAACGGGGTCAGTTCTGAATCGAAACGTCTTCCGTATACATGTGTGTGACTACGAGAGTATACGTGGACTTTGGGTCGGATTAATCAAATTTCATTACACATGGGTAGTTCTCGAATTCCTCAAGATTAAACCAGAAGCTGGCTGCAACGTTGAAGAATATCAGTCCATTGGAAGTCCAGCCAAATGTGCGACATTTGACTTCTCAAGCATAGTTACGGCAGTCAAAGGGAAACATCCACAAAATTAGATACAGGTGACGTCATGGGCTGATGTAAACTCGAACTCTTCTCCGATCACTGTTTCCGTAATATAATTCATCAACAGGATGGCAGTCCTCTTATTTCTACCAGGAGATCACAACGAAACGTTGTCGTTTCTGGGTTGGGAAGCTATCAAAGATATTCTTCAACATGACTGATTTTCCTCCTCGCCTCCGCCATCTTGTTAAGAAATAAACAGGCGAGGCTACCAAGTACTAATCGCATCCGCTGTGATAGACCGTGGGCTCAAGGTAGGGGTAAACTTTATGGGAAATGGGAAATTTATGTTTATTAGAAACGCAAATGTTTTCGCATAATATGATGTTGACTACCAAGAGTAAACGTTCCCCAAAATGAAATTTTTATTATAATTTTCCAAAATGGAGGCAGAAGTTGAAGGAGGTACCTCAAGTGGGCCTGTAACTTCCGAGGAATCGCCAAACGATGCCGCACTATATCCGAGTGTGAAAGACATTGAAGATCGGAGGGGCGATAACAACCTCAAAGTTGACAACTCAGACGCAAACTCCGTCAGACCAAACTCTCCTGCTCCGCCACTTACTGGTTTTAATTTTTGGGATGTGAATAGTTACAAGAGAACGGTCAAGAGAATCGACGATGGCGCTAAACTATGTGATGACCTTTTAAAACTTTTGGCGGAACGTGCCGAAATCGAGGGATTGTATGCTGCTAAACTTCAAGGTAAGTACAGGGTAAATACTAAGGCGTGTTTTTACTAGCATCGATCCAAGGCGTGTTTTTATCGATCCAGCAAAACAATCTTTATTTAACTGATCAATAGACATTATGATGGGCAGATTGTGTATTCATTCGTCCATACAATAATTTCGATGGAGTACTGTGCGTGGTTTACGTGGTTAAAGAGGTGTGAAACGAAATTCCACTTTCTCTCTCAAGTCAATTGGGTCTGTAGTTCTGCATGGGGATGCATGATCTTCTTAGCAACAATGAGGTATATTACTAAGCTTAACAGCACGATTGCGGATTCGTTGTTTAGAAGCGAATTAAAGGTGAAAGTTAAGGGAAGGACATTCAGACTTCCTCTCTATTTATAGCAGACGCTTTTAAAGTAGATGCCTTAAAAAAAGTCATTATTTTACCCAACCATTTTGCATATTGACAGTAATCTTATTAGCTCCTTTTTATTTCCTTGATTAGTTCTTAGTTTTTTCTCGTTTGTTTTGTTTTGTGTCCGTTTGTTTCTTTTTCTCATACATTAACAGTGATGTGAAACCTTTGTGAGTTATTCTGTGTGACTAAATTTTCAAAAATGCAGGTCTGCATGTAGATTCGAATATAGCCGTGTTGGCAATATGTATACACTTTAAGTGCCCTCTTAATTAGCAGGATAAAATTGTTGCCCACGTTTCCCTAGCCTTAAAGCAGGTGCACTTAAACACTACATGTATCATTTGCACTGGAAAGCCTGCGGGCAGACCATCAGTCGACAGCATGTTGCTTTCATGATCATCAAGATTGTAAACATTTTTAATTTAGTGGATGTGCTGTTTAATTTTCCTTTTCCTGAATTAACCCAGTAGATCATTTATACATAGTGTACCATGAATATATGAGTGTGTTACTTTTACAGAACTTATTAAACTTATAAGTATTTGCTTGTAAAGTTTTCAATAGCTCAATAGCACCTGCTCACAACATCCAAGACAAGCAAAGTAGAGGAGTAAACAAAGATACCTGTTACCAAGTGACAATTAGGCCAAATTGATCTATCACTAAGGAGAAACAGAGCAGAAACTTGTTCCTTTTAGAAGTATGCATTCAAGAAGGTAACTGAGCACAAAACATGTGCTGAAACAAATATCAGATGACAAAACAAGACTCATAGTCAGTGTCTTTTATCAACTTCTTGAATGTGTGTTTTTATCCCTTCAAACTCATTTTACCATATTGAAAAACCTGACAGGATCTTTGCCTCGTTGGCTATCTACCATCTTAAATCCATAACATGCACTTGTGGAATAACTTAAAAATTACAGAATTAAATATTTACTACTTTTGGGGGGTCACTACTTTCGGGGGATCGCTTCTTTCGGGCGGTCATTACTTTTGGGGAGCAAAAAACATCATACAAAGTTGGTGCAACTGAGCTTTTTTAATGAAATATAAGATGGCAATTCATAACAAAACATTTTTATGAAAACGAGGTAAAATTCATCATTGTTCCAGTTTCATGTTACTGACATCATCACAATGCACTTAGGGGTTGTCTCCATATGTCTACAACATGCATGTTGTCTGTTGTAGGCACAGGTTGTGCAAGTTTCTCCTAGAGTTCTTTTCTAAGCTCTTTAATCACCTTTTTTTCACAGTGACATCATAGAAACAAGGAATCTCTATTCCTCCTCCTTTAGCTCCCTGCATCCACACACAGGCGCACTCCTGCTTTGACCAGACTGCATGGGAGAATCAGCCAATTTTTCAACTTTTGTTGAAGCTGAAACATTTCTGTTATTACCTACACTGCACATTCTGGTTGAAAACAGCATGAAGGGTTTTAAATTTTAATGCGAAGAAAAGTTCATTTTCCTGTTCACTTGACTATTGATTGGAGAAATAACTGTACCGTTGTATTAGACCTTGGTCTCGTTATATTTGGTGGGTAGGTGGAGTTGGCGTGGGGTTGGGCTTGCTTCTTTCAGGGGTTGCTACTTTCGGGATTTACTAGAGGCGACAATTTTTTGACGTCACTTTGGAGGCGTCACTACTTTCGGGGGGTCGTTACTATTGGAAGTTTATGGTGAGCTTTTTCACAGATCTTTTACTCAAATGCAGGTTGGAGCAAAAAGTGGAATGACCTGATCAATAAAGGCACTGAGTATGGATCAGTGAAAAGTGCCTGGCTCAACATTACAACTGAAGCAGACCAGTTAGCAGAGATCCACAGTGAACTTCAAATCAGGCTGGGTAACCAAGTCCATGGAAATGTACAAAGGTGGAAGTCAGCAAATTATCACAAGGCGATGCTAAGCTGGAAAGAAACCAAAAATGCAGAGGAAGGATTCAGCAAGGCACAGAAACCCTGGGCCAAAAGGCAGGATGAAGGTATATTTTGTATTCATTTATTTCTTATTTATTTTTAATAATGTACATGTAGAGGCAGCATGCGTCACAGTCTCCTTGATTTCTTAAAAGAATGACTACTACAGTAACTCTGAAAGGGAATTGGATTCCTGGTACAGTGAAGCTTTGACATGTCTATTACTGTTTAGTTAATATTTATGTTTGCTACATGTATAATGCAATGGTAAGGTTAATGTTAATATTTATGACTTTGTTAATATTTCATGTTTAACCACATGTATGTTGAAATCTTCAGTATGGCATGCATGTTGCTAGATTGGCTGCCAAGTGCTCACAGAAATCAAAGAGGAAAATGATTCATAGTAATTTTTGTAAAACTAAAACTTAGGCAGATGTTTAAATTGACACAAGTTTGGTTTATTAAAAAAATGGTATTGAATGGAAAATGCATACATGTGGTATAACTGCTTTGAGTAAGTCAGCTACTGCACATGAGTGGTAATTAAAAGAGATGCATGTTATTAGTGAATCTGATCTGCAGATCTGTTGAATCTTGCAAGTGTGAAAACATGCCTGTTGATTGCATGAAATATACAGAGGAATGCCACCTCATAGCCACCCCTGTTAACATGACCATCTCATTATTATGGAACATATGAAGAAACCCCTTTCATATGGCCTCCCCATTAATATGGCCAGATTTTTGTCGCCCAACAGTGATTGTGGGGCTCCACAGTGACTGTACAAATGTAGTACTGTAACACTATATACATGCTGATTTCTTTTTTAGTGCTGAAATGTAAACGGGCATACTACCAAGCTTGCAAGGCTAGAGACCAGGCAGAGAAGCTTTACAAAGAAGCATGTGTTGAAGGAAGTACAGTTGGAGAGGAACAAGTCAAGAAACTCAAAGATAAATCAGAAAAAACTGCTAGTGACGCACAGACTACAAGAGGTAGATATGAAGAAAGCCTGAGAGATATCGGAAATTATAACCCCAAGTATATGGAGGACATGCGTTATGTGTTCAACAAGTGTCAGCAGTCGGAGGAGGAGCGGAAGAACTTCTTCAAGCAAACCTTCCTGAGCTTCTGCCAGCAGATGTCACTGGCACCACATTTTAACAGGTACATGTAGGTCGTTAAGCGATAAATTGTTTGCAAAAAAAGGATAGAATGTGTACAGATATACTTGGGGTAATGTGGTTTACACAGTGAGGAGCATGTGGTAGAATAATCATGCATGACATGTTTGAAGTGATTGGTTACCTGCAGGTTGTTTTCTGTTTTAGGTTTGAAGCAACTGTTATTTCTGAGCTACATGTATGCATACATGTATGTGCTTTTAATACTAGCAAAGTGTCTTACACATGTACTTAATTTAATGTAATCCTCTTCATTCCCTGTGGGACATAAGGCTACAACAGACTCCCTCCATTTATGCCTATTTTGTGCGACATGCAGTGCCTCACCTCAAGTGAGTTCTGCCTCACTGAGATCAGCCATGACAGGTCTGCATACGGTGGTTTTTGGCCAACCAGGTTTCCTTTTACCAGGTGGTGTCCATCGCAACGCAACCTTCGTAATACGAGCCTGTTTCATTCTAAGTATGTGGCCCAGTCATCGGATTCGTCTACGTTTAATTTCCATGACAATACTCTGGCAACTAGCAAAGTGAAGCTATTAATAAGTATGCAAATGTTGCACACGTATTCAATTGACATTGACATGTTACATGACGTATTCTTGAACAAAACCATGTTATTAACATTATAGGATATCCAGTATCTACAGTAGTCTTAACAAAGCATTTGAGGCAGCAGACATCGAGGCTGATATTTCGTGGTGGTCTGTTAACTTTGGCACAGAAATGCCGACAAGGTGGCCAGTATTTGAGGTAAGTAATGTATCAAACACGAGAGACAGTGTTTCATTGGGATATCCAAACACCGAGAGGATAGTTGAAAATAGGACGGGCAGCGGAGTATTTTTGACGAACTTGGAGGTGTTTGGATAGCCGATGAAACACTTTCTCGAGTGTTCAAGGTGCATGTATATCTTCTCAGTCGAAACAAAAACTAAGGAGTAAACGGAGAAGTGAAATCGTCAAAATCTATGCTAATTAAGACCGGGTATCCAAACCTCCTTCACGGTTGTGATTTTCTTTGTTTTAACTTGATTAATTGTTAATGAGTTTGTGAAGTATTGACCAAGAATTGTATGTTGCATATGTATTTACAATTGAACCTCCGGTTGCGACCACCTCTCCTCAGCGACCAGTTTTTCAAAATACCAAAAGTTTGCAAGTCAAATCACTATATTTTGAACCTCTTGTAAGCAACCACCACTCATAAGCGACCGCGACCATATTTGGAGCTAAAAGTTTGAAATTTTCTTTTGTTTTTAACCTTCCGTAAGCGAACACTTGACAGGTAATAGAGCGAAAATTGGATAATAAAGAGTTGTAACATTATCGTATTCCTGGGTAGTACAAAAGACGGAAATTTCTCAATGGGAAGTAGCAGATTTTTTCTCGAAACTGACTGGAAAATTTCCTCTGACAGACAAATTGGACTCAGCCTACGGCGTCATTCAATCCTGGCTGTCCTCATAATTTTTTTCATCGAAATATTTCCAAATTGAACAGCATGTAGACCTACTACATTATACTAATTGATTTGTTTCTGTCACATTTGTAGGAATACACTGGACAAGAGGTGCAAACGGTCACAATACAACAACAACAACAACAACAACAACAACATCAACAGACTGCTGTCACTCAATCAAATCCCTCTCAAGGGACCCAAGCCTCTCCTGGTGCTAAGAAAAGCTCTGTTTGTACCACGTTATAGATTTATCAATCAAGTCAATGAAACAAGCACCATTTGAAAGACAAAATCACATCTTAGAGAATTCACTGAACTGTCAGGGCTCACTTGTACAGCTGGGACGCTATTCACGCTACTAAGTCTATACCTACATGTACCTTGATTGCAACAAGCTGTAACAAAATGGCGAGCTTGCCAGAGCACTCTTTAACCTTCGAGTCGCCTGGTTCTTAGGCCCAATACGTCACCAGTCAATCCGCTTCAGGTCACGACTAATGAAATCCTAGCAGCGCAAGCAACCAGTGGCCCTGTTTCTAGGACCCAACTCAGCCACCTCACTACTAAGAGTAACTTCACTTGCCAAGGCCGGCCGGCAAAGCTTAGTGATGCATCTCTCTTGTTTATTCGGACCTACATGTATTTTATGTACTTTAATTTATTTTTACCACTTTGATATTTGTATTCCGCAGTTTGAGGCACTTGAGGTGTGATTATAGTGTTGTACATATTTTAGTATTTTTAAGTAGTTTACTCAGTCGTTGTTGTACAGTCAAATGCATGTGTTTGGTCCACTGTGTACGCGTAGTTGTAACATAACTGAGCATGCTTCATGCACTGCTTCAAGTCAAAAGTCGTTTGGCTATTCAATACCAAATCACATGATAATTGTGGTTGGCTCACAACCTCAGCAAACGCTTTTCTGTGGGGTTTATTTGTTTATTTTTTATTTTGGCTATAATCTGAACGAAACCCCTCTTCCTTTATCTTCGATCTTCTGCTGCTTAATCTGCAGGATCTGCCCTTTATAGAGGGCTGCATTACGATCGTGTACACTTCTTAATCGTTTCTGTAGGGGACGGTTTTCTTTTATCGATATTTCGATGTTTTCTCAGACGAACTGTTGTAAACGCGGTTCCGTTTGGCACGAAATTTTGGCGGTTCTTTTCCATAATCCACAAAAATTAGAACCCGCAAGAATTTACTCAACTGGCGAAATTATACAACATTTAAACCTTACATGCGCAATCTTGTTAATGCCATTTATTTCAAACGTTGCCCATGACACAGTATACTTGTGTAGCTGCTAAAAAGTTAACAGAAAGGATCGTGTGAAGGTACTATCAGCCACACTGGGGCAACACGTAATTGTAAAAGATTGATTGATGTCCGTGTAGTGTAATATTGAAAAACGTCGAAAATGGTGTTTTTCAAATAAACTGGACTTTCTGAAAATCGTAAAAATTGATACCCTGCTCGAAAAACCAAAAATATATTATATAGATATTGAACTGTGCTTTCATGTCAGTCGTGTTTTCCGATTTAACATAAGCCAGCATATCGCCTAGTTTACAATACCGTTAAACTCAAAAAAAGTTTTACTTCGTTCACAACATTAACTCACGGTTTGCCTAATATTCATTGGTTAATGATGGTTGGGCTGTTCAACGAAACTAAGTTTGAAGGAAGGACCTAACATTTTTCTAAATAGCTAGGATGGACATTTTATCGCCTAATTTTTTGGGATATTTTTTATGCTCAGCAATGCACTGATACAACAAGAGCTGTCCAATTCGTGTGTTTTCAATACTCTTACCTTTTGTAGTAAATGCTTTGTACATTTGGTGTGTAAAAGTTATGCTGGTCATAATTTTTGTTTTGGTGTAAATACTCCAGTAATATAAAGAAAGCAAAGTGATCACAAGTATGAAAGCTTTGCTTAATTAGACTTGAGTTATGGAATTTTAACTGCACGAATACAAATTAAAATTTCACTGATAATTGCCTATATTTGTCATATTCACTGAACTTTTAGTGTGTGTGAATGAGTGAGCGAACGAATTGAAGACAATGTGCATGTATTGAGGAATAAAAAAACCCTTCAAGATAACAAAACTCCCTGTTCTATAAAACAGCACAAGTAGTTCTGCAGTGGTAGAGATAGTAAGCCCGTAGCACTATCTTTTACCTTTTTTGGCGATCAAGTATTTTCTCTTGTGGAGCAGTTTGTAGAATAATTCTAAAACTAATACAATTTGTCTTAAAAGGTCTTACCAGTTGTATTCCTGATAACCAGTCGGCCATTTCTTTGCGTGAAATGTTCCTCGTTCAGTGCCAGCTGCAGAAAATACCAACGATCAAAAACGTTGCACATTTCTCAGATAACCATTCTTTGATCCTGACTTAACACTTAACAAACTTATCGGAGTAACCTGTAGGACAGGCGGATTACGGGGTAGAACGCGAAGCGGAAGACATCTTGAGACCTAAACCATCCCAATGTGCACTGTGCACTGGCTTGTGACTGTATCTTGGCCTGGGNTAGGACAGGCGGATTACGGGGTAGAACGCGAAGCGGAAGACATCTTGAGACCTAAACCATCCCAATGTGCACTGTGCACTGGCTTGTGACTGTATCTTGGCCTGGGTTGAGCTGCTCAGCGTGTTCATCCGAGAATCCAGCCGAGTTATTGCGCCGAAACACCACGTTGTGTTACTGTAGTCTTCTTCGTATGCCCTAAGACCCCGTTAGCCCACCAACTGACTTCCGGCGAGGACGAAAAAACAAACAAACAAAAAAAAGAAAACAAAAAAAAAAGCAAAAAAAAAAAAGCGAAACTGAAGAATTCGGAAGCGAAGCGATTGGGAGCTGGGCTTCGTTCGCGCTCGCCGCGGGCGTAAGGCCGCGTCCAAACTGTGCCGGAGGAATTTGAAATCGGAACATCAAATGTTTTCCGTCCACACTACACCTAAAGAATTTAAAAACGTAACAATCACCGGTCGTTTTCGATTTGTGTTGAGGAAAACTCGTTCAGGGAAATCACATGATTAGCGTGCATACATGGTTTTAGAAAAGTTCCGTTTTTATAATGCTTTTGGTCCACACGAAAACGAAAAACCGGCGTTTTTAAATTCCTCCGGTTTAATGAGCGTTTTCGAAAAGCTTTGTTTTCGCCGCAATTCGTGACGGATTAGTGTGGACGGTGGGCCTAACCGTGGAAATAAAGCTGCGTTTTCAAATTTCTCCGGCGTAGTGCGGACGCTTCCTAAGTCGGCTTATCGCGCAAGGTGGCATGCCCTCGCACCCCCTCCCCCCTCCCCGCCCCAAAATAAATAACAACGGCTTACAATGACACAGCTGAATATTTCTATTTAACTAAGAAGAAAAAAATTGCACGCATTTACGTTCGTTGCAGTTGTAGAACTGTAATGAACAACAGTTGAACACTTTTTTGTTGTTTTTTTGAAGAACGCGCGTGATTTTGCAGTTCTTTTCAGCCTACTAACACACGTACATATTCTTCATTTGCTCGCTCGATTTGGTGACGGTAAAATTTCATGACCTCATCGAATACAACAGTCCGACAGACTGTTTCCAGTCTCTTCAAGTGTACTTCGCGCTAGCCCATGAGAGGAAGTGAACTCCTAGGAACTAGGCTGGTCTGTGAAGGGTTGTGCACGTGAAGACTGACCCCGTAAAGGCGGCATCACGTGAGCATCAGGTGATACACCAAAATAGAACTGAACTGATCGATGGCGTGATGGTGGGCTGTGCTTAGCACGTACCAACCGTTAGTCAATAATTAGAAATTAAAACCAAACATAACGGCAAACTCCAAAAGAAAATTTGCTCGTTTTAGACAGATAGCTTCTGCTGGGATCAAACGGGTGTAAATTGGTGGTTTTCAAGGTCTGCTGGGAATCACTCGGTTTTAGGCTTTAACAATCAAAAACAGTTTTAAAAACCAGTTGTCAATCTTTGCATCAGGCATTAAACAGCCAGAAATTTAGTCTAATGAGGCAATCCGAACAAATTTGAATTAAACTCTAGCTTTGAAATTAGTATGCATAGTACAGTGGGAATAGAAGCGAGAGGTAGCGATTTTAAATTAAACGAGCGTTAAGAATAAACTAAGATTGCTTAAAAAGTCTGCACTAGTTTCAGAGACAGTGTTGGGGATATCTTCCTGCTTTAGTGCTAAAGCAATCTTCGATCGTGTTCGAGAGTGTTTTCAAGGAGTCCTTTCTTTCAAAATTGCTTATGTATGAGTGATCTTGAAGTGAAACGTTTTCTCTGCGCCAAACACCTGAACTTCTAACAGCGCTCAATTTATTACACAGATGAAATGGCTGTGTCCTCCGCCATTGATTTTCTCATGAGAATTCTAGCAATTCTTTTGTCTTCATTCTCGCCGATTATTTCTCCACGTAACACCAGACGGTGTCAAGCTGTGTCCTGTATTAATGGAATCTCCAACGTACGATTGCCTATTTATAACCACCGCGACCAGCTTAGAAACAATAGGACGGGTTGAGTTGATATGCTTCAATGGCGTCTATGGGCTAGGAACACATGTAGTGAGAGATAAAACAACATTAAAAAGCTGAATATAGGAGCGCTTTTAAGAATAGCAATGGTTTTAATAGTTCGTTTTGTTTTTATTGCGTGATCCGTGAGCTAGCCTGCAGCTGTAAGGGCGTCTTTGTGGTGCCAGAAACCACTTTTGCACTTCAGTTTCTTCCGTACTCTAAAGGCTACGGTTAATGTCTCAAGTAGCTTTTTTTATCTTTCTTTTGTTTTTCTTTTGTTGTTTTCTTTTCCTTCTTTTTAATTATTAGATTAGGCCAGCTAAAATATAAACGAGGAACGGAATATTTTGCAAGCAATTCGAGGACTCTGCAAACTACTTAGCCATTAGAATTAGATAGAGCCACGCTTGATTTCTTTGAATTCGGATAAAACCCGCTCAAGGTGTTCGATCAGTGTTTTTTTAATCTCTCAAGCTTCACTTTGGAACCTTTTCAGCATGTAGTTTGCCGTTGCGAGATTGACTGGCGAGGTCGGTTATTGAAATAGTTATATATGGTTCACGACCAGCTTACAATGACCTACACTGCTGACTAGCAATCGCGGATTATATGACACGATGAGTTTTCTGTACGTGATCCAAGCGGCTCGGAAAAAGAACTAATACCGACTTCTCCAGCTATACGAGTCGATTACTTTATACACAGAAAAACAATCAAAAAGTATTGTTTCAACGCTAATCTGCACAAATGCAAAAACAAATTGCTCTTTATTGAGAGACATGAAGGAGAATATTCGAATCTACCTAGTACTGCACGGTTGCTTCAGCTACAAAACTCGGTATCGCGTGCTAAACATATGCAGTATCCAAGGAGAAGTTGGTGAGTGTCAATCGTTTTCGTTCCTGGATCGCAATTAAATCAAAAGATACTATTGCACAGGTCATAGTTGTAGTTAGTGTTCAGACAGTATTGACTTAACTGGCCAAATAATGCTAAAATACGCTCAAGTGGCTGACTGTTTTACAAGTCCGATCTGTTATGAGGTGACTGATATTTCTCAGTCTACTGCTGCCATTTATTTGACTCAATGAGCTCCTCAGCAAAAAGGTCTTTCTTCAAACACTCATCTCTGTTAACCCCTTTGATGATATCTGATGGTCAGGAAATGAGTGTAAGAGGAATTATAAATGCAGAAAAGGTTTTGAAACAATCAGCATTGAATGTTGAAATAACCCAAGGGTTTTTGCAACGCCCAGAAGTTGCTCAGTTACGAACTTCTCTAATCAGATGTTGCGCAATTCCCAGTTTCTGTGTACATGTAGCCACCCGTTCGTTACAAGGCACCTGTTCATTATTCCACACAAGAAACCCTGGGACAGATGAGAATTTTTCTGACAAATAAAGGCATAACGATTCTACAGATCTAATGTGTAGGCCGCCTGGATTGAAAAGCAAACACAGGACCTATACTCGCGCAGGCCTACGCTATACACAAATGTGCGGTACAATAAGAGATATATATCGGGCTCTTTGTAATTAAACTTGGATTATAAAAACGCATTATCTGCTAAAACACTGTTAGAATCAAAATTCTAGCTGGCATAAATTATTTACTATCTGATAAGTGATGGTGTTACCGTGCGTGTTTGGAAAAATTTCAGGAAATTAAATGCTATTTCCATATTCAACCGAGTTTGTCCCGCGTAAGATAGACACGAAACTAAAAGACTATGAGTCCTCAGACAACGAACACATTTTGTGAAAACAAATAGTTGCCAGTAAAGGGATTGCCTGAAATTTTTTAGGTATGTCACGAACTCCGTGGCAGAAATAATGGTTCAGAATTTTGGCACGGACTGATTGAGCTCATGTTATAGCAGGTGTGCACTGCCTCGATCAATTTTTAGAGGGCGTCCTAACTGCTTCGTTCAGGACTATCCGTCCGTCAGCATGACAGCAGAACAGCTCAGCCACTCAGTCACGATCTGCAGATCACGTTTCACGAGCACAGCTCTCATAAAACACATGAAAAGTGCAGCCAATGTAAAAAATTAAAATACCAATTTTCAAAAAGATGGTTTTAGGAAACGTCTGTTTTAACGGAGCGATCAGTCTCTCATGCACGGCAAGCAAAATGTTCCCAAGAAGAGCAATAAAGACTTAACTAAAGCGACTCTGCAAAAAGCGTTTCGACCTCAGTTTAACTGTACTTTATTCAGTTAAAATTCATTTAAAATATAGACAGTTTTGTCAATAATTTACCCATGCATGGGTCTTATAGCAAAGAACAAGCAATTCGACGTATTTGATGAAGTATCTTTCTACCAAAATCAAGACATACCTCTCAAATAATTTTACTCAATAAATTATTTTCCACAAAGTCTTACATAAAACTATTGAGATACACACTGAACTGAAAAACTACGTACTAGCTAATTCGGCGGCAGAGACATTGACTTGTCGGCAATGTTTAGTTTACGTGTTTCGTGGTATTAATATAAGTCCGATAAATGCAAATCCATAACTTGGACCGAGCTAAGATCAGAGGAAGAAAATATTGTCGTTCGTACGTATGCTCAGCATAATTAGGAATTAGAATGATCACGGTGGCAGTTTAATTGGTGATTAAATTTCTCTAGGAAACGAATAAACTTGCCCGACCCGAATGTGCATGTGCAACAGTTGCTACAAATAACACGTGTTGTCCCATTCAAAATCTTCGATGCGCTCATTGTTTTGTAAATACTTAACATCCACAAATTGCTTGATCTATTTTTAACCGAGTGAAAGATGACTCGCTCGAGCTGAGCGGCTTATTATGAGCGACATAAACCTATCCGGAGTGAAATTCGTTTCCTAGGAACAAAATCGACCATAATCCGTGTTTCTCGATAGTTCTTTTTAAACTACCCTTTTTAATGAATGCATTGTCCTTCAAATAAGAGACATATGAATTTAAAAGTGATCAGATTTTAAAGCTGGCCTGTTACATATTCTTTCGTTTGGTTTCCAAAAAATATACAGTTTCGTTAAATGGTATTTCTTTTGATTTTTTTCTCTCGAAGTACCGTAACTGCTTTTTTTACAAGATTATTACTAAATAGTTATATTTATAATTGGAGCTCAGTCTGTCGGCTACTTGAGTATTAAATCTAAAAAGCGCTTTACATATAAAATCTGCATAAATTTACATTTTCTGTTAGTGATAAAAAGATAAAAATGGCATCTTTTTAGGCGAATAAACGACCAGTAAAACGCCGACAAAGTTGTATATCTTTGCTACTAATAAAACTAGATTGCACTTGTAGTGCCGGGGTCTTTTTGTAATAATTAGGTAAACGTTTTCCTTTCGCTTTTATGTGCAAGCCACCCGTAAGAACATATCCGCGCTTTGTGGCAAATTGACTCCGGGCGGTGACTGAGCGAAGATATGCTAACATCGTACGACACGGAACGAGAGAAGTATCTTTGCGTCATTTCACCCAGTGGTGAAAATTGTGTTTGTCTCAACGTTGATGAAGAAATATGGTCTCTACAAAAGATGAAGAACAAAGTCTTACTACAAAATTATCCTAACAAAGGAAACTTCCATGTAGCACCTTTGTCAATTTCGGATAGAAATTGAATCGAATCAATTGCTTTCGCAACGTGTAATTTATCTGATGTACTTGTTGAATTTCGCAAAACCTTCCAAAACTTCGAGCCATTAAATTTACTTTGCTTCTAAACAACCAAGCGCTGAAGAGTAATTTTTTGACCGGACTTTTGCAATTGACGTGGAATCAGGGCAGTTTATTCAGCCGTAATAACAATATTATGAGTGATAGAAGTGGTTTCCAAGAGCCTATTTGTGACAGAAAAATTCTGATGTTTGCGAACTCGGGTACCTCAAGTTGAACTAAAATAAATTTGTTTTTCCTTCCCAGGAAATGTTTCTTTTAGACTTGACGCCTTGCCATTTCAAAAGCAAGCAAATGACACATTTCTGGAAGTGATTCACGATCGCATTAAATCTTAATCGCTTTCTTTGACATCAACTGCGAGGAATTCCCTACGATTTCTTTGCAGAAAGGAGCCTAACATTCTTTTAAATCGCTATTTTCTTTGTAGTGATCGTAAAATCCCTATAGTGTCGCTAGCGGTGGGTCTTAAACATGGATTGGCCTGCCATAGGCTTTCCACTAATTGTTGATAATGACATGAAGTCTCGTCTCCACTCGGTACACGTGGTCGCAGATTGTACGCAACAACGCCGAACACAACAACATAAAGATTTTCCGATCCGTACGGCTGTTCTCTCGTCAGCAATTGCCAGAGACAAATTCCAAGAGAATAGATGTCCGCTTTCGGAGTTGGAGTTTCTCCCTTGAGCAGTTCAGGTGCCCTATAGGCAAACGTGCCTGTCAGATATGAATAGGTTGGACTAGCAGGTAGATTTTCGTCGCCTTCGTCCAATATTTGGCTACAGCCAAAATCTCCCAGTTTACAAACGTCCTTAGAATCCACCAGAATATTGGCTGGTTTAACGTCTAAATGGGCGATATCCTGCCCGTGAATAAACTCCAACGCCATGGTTATGTGAGAGGCGAATTTCAGTCTTCTCTCCTCATCAATAACCTCCTTTTCATTGTCCAGGATATTCCGTAATGTTCGCGACCCAGCAAACTCCATTATAATCATCCTCTCGGAAAGAGGACGATCTAAACTTGACGCTGCTATTGTTCGTACGATGTGGGGATGGCAAAACGATGCTATAGAAGTCTCTGCTTGAAAACTCTGCAACACTGCCCGCGGATTTTTTGAGTTTGTGTTCATTTTCTTAACCGCAACAGTTCCTCCGCGATATTTTCCCTCGTGGACTGAGCCAAAGCCTCCGCTTCCTAACAGCTTTGAGATCTGAACGAGGGCTGCTTCGTCTTCCGAGAGAATTTCAATCTCTCGGACAAAGGCCTTACATTGAGGGGCCATTGTGTCTGCAGTTTCTTTGGACCGACTGCGAATTTGTAAAAGCTTTTCGCTCGCCAGCATTTGTTAAGGGGAAATTCGCCTCGATCCAAGAGTTTTGTTTCCAGTTGTTTCCTTGAAAAGCTCAGTTTAGATGCGTGGCCTTAAGTCTGAGAAGGCCAGCTTCGCGGCGGTGCCTTTTGAACGAAGTCCAGCTTCTTGGCTCCAAAAGAGGCTTCCGCTGAAGTCGCCCGCAACTTCGGTGGAAATGCAAGCCACTGTCGTATTCAGCTGATGTAAAACAAGCAAACAGCTGGTCAGAGAGGTTGACATTTAAAGCGCTATCCAATCACAGCGCGCGTTAGAATGTTTACCCTTTGTTACCCGCCAAAGAGGCGTGACTGCGAGGCAGGCCTTTTCTCGCACGCTTTCAACGCGTGCAGACTCGCTCGACTTCCCAACGTAATTTATGCGAGCGGAAGCGCAAATTGAAATCGAGTTAAACTTTCCCTCTCGTCGTCGCCAAGCACATTCTGCTTGGAAACGGAGACTTTCTGTACCATTAAAAAAAAAAAATTCCAATTGTACCGGCCATGAACTAATGTCAATTAGGTCATAATAATGGACATCGTGAATAATTAATCAGTACGGTCAGTAATTATTCCTCTCCCTCCCGTCGAATGGGCTTTTAAATGCTTACTAATGTCAACTTTGCAGATAAAAAGGCGTGCCTCGTTCAGCTTTATACTGTGGTAGCCCCAGCGACTATAAACACTGTGTTTAGAGAACATAAATTTTAATAAACGTGTCATAGTTAGTTTTGCAAAAAAGTCAGGAATGTTTGCGAAACGCTTGTCAAATATCGCTTTCAAATTCAGCTTATGTGGTGAGCCTCAATGAGTTTTATTCAACAAGTTATCACCTTTTCCGCTCATGCGTGGAATCGATCGTTTTTCTGATCTTTTGTTCTCGAACGTTTGATCAATATCGAGAAGAACTGAATTTTGTGCAACTGAACGCGATTCTACCGAAAGCGTCGATTGCGAAATGTACTTGAAATTGAGTTCCAGGAGAGCCAGTGGTATAATAGTACCAGTAAAATCACCAGTTTCGCGTCGCTTCTTCTACAAAAGCACTGGTACTTTGTCGGTTAGCTGCTTTCTTTGTCTGCTATCTTCCAATGACCCTTGAAAAGAGCGTTTTGGGCAGGTAGCGTCCTCGTTAACAGCTGGCGAAGGAAAATTTTCCCCGATCGATTGTCACGAGTTTCTAGAAAAAAAACCTAAGTCTTACCTTACAGAGTAGATTTGATTCAAAACTCTTGAGCAGCGCTCGGTTACATGGAACAAAGACAGCCACGCTCGCCAGTTGACACTACAATGCTCACTAGATGTGATAAATGCCGTATTTCTATTTAATGAAATGAAAGTCACACAGGCTTCCTCTTTTCAATTGCCTAAGACAGCTGTCTTTTTTGTCGCGGTTTGTTGATGAATTTACTGAACGCGAACTACAATTGACAGGACGTGGCGGAGCGCATATTAAAAGCATCACTTCCGAGCTGACTGAGGCATATGCATGTTCAAGAAAACAGACCTGAGAAGCGCCTTAAGATCGGCATGGGCCTCATTACGAACTGATCTGAATGACAATTAAGAAGAATTTTTTTCTTTGTTTAACTGCCAACAAAAATTTACTTAGTTGTCGACCTTTTCCACTGTCATTTACACGAAATAATCTGACTTTACGAAAATTGTTTCCCGTTTGAAGAGTTAGTCCATGAGAGAATCTTCTTTGTCTACTTCTGTTTCGTGAAATTCTAATTGGTGATAATTTGGTTTATCGTTAGCGCGATGACTAACCCAATCAGACGTATTCATATTCAATTTCAAAATGTTAGGTTTATTTTCAATTAGTGATGTTGTCTGAGTAAAGACGTTAAATTTCCATTCCAAATTTCTGCGAATTTCTACTGCGATCGCCTTTCAGTATAGCCTGATGGTGATCTAAAGAATGTTTAGTGTTCGCTGTCAAATGTCTTGGCCATTTTCCATTGAAATCATTTACCTATTAATACGCGTCTTGAAACATGAGTTAAACGCTGAAAAAACTTTATTACCTCGCATTCAGGATAAATCTTACGACGCAGCTGAATATTTCTAGCTGAGCGTCCACCGTTCATTTCCTTCAATTATACTTGGAGGAATTTCAATCCAAGACAAGAATGTTCCGTGCATGATCAGGAATTCTGTTCTCGTGATAGGCTTGCTTAAAACTGTTAAATGTGCTATGAAAGGTAATGAGAAACTGGAGATTGATCATTTCATGACAAGGGACTGACGATATCTGTTGACACGACAATCAGAGGGATCAGAGGGTTATAATTTTAATCAGCTGATCAGAATGCTTTCTGTCGCTCAAGTAATTTGTTGTAATTGTAATGCGTGGTTCAGTTCCACCTGTTACCATTCCCCCCCCAAGGCAACCCCCGGGACAAGTCCAGTTATTCGTACCCGGGGGTGGAGAATTGTCTAAGAGGGTCTTGCCTGTGGAGGGGCAGGGGTGGGTAGGGAACGGAGCAAATCAAAAAATTGCTTTGTACATGTGGCTTATCAAACGCAATGACAACGCAGCGCTTGCCAGACCTAAAGATATTGTTTTGGCTGGAACAAAACAATCTTTCTAAATTAAAGCCCATATTTGAAGGTAAGATTATTTAATATAACTGTGAAATCAAAAGAGTTATACATTATTACAGATCGATTACCTGTATATTGAGTAAAATGTTTGCTATAGCAAACATTTTACCCAATATAAGGTAATGCTCTGATCTATACATATAAAATCGGTAGCTATTGATTCAATCTTTTAAGAACACTTTTTATACGACTTTTATATTGAAAGTATTCATTTGCTAAAGAAACACTTTGAAACATTATATGTGATTCAATATTCTCTTTACTTTTTGGGATCGTCAATGTAAAATAAATCAGTTCTTTTTATCAGTATGTGGTAACTATATATATATATATTATATATAAATATATATCTATATCTATATCTATCTATNTATATATATATATATATATATATATATATATATATATATATAGATAGATAGATAGATAGATAGATAGATAGATAGATAGATATTACTCTACGTAGTATCCTTCGTTCATAAACTCTAGAAAATCGTTGCGTTCTTGACCAATATTGCCACCCCTTTTATTCCACATACAGACAGTTGAGGTAGATAAGAGTACCGGGGCGGGGAACAGGCCGCCGAATAAGAAAAAAATGTCAAATCCCAGGGGTATGTCCGGGGGGATGGTAACAGGTGGAATTGAACCTCGCATAAAAGCAATGTCTTACACTAAAAAGCATTCTGCTTCAACCTCAGCTCAGGTATTGAAAAAGCATTAGGATTCTAATCGGGAGAGTCCGACAATTTTACAAGCAATTTATTCCCAAAGATAATAAATGAGGTGGTGTATTTTTAGCTTGGTAGATATATGAGTTGACTAATTTTTCTGTCAGCTAGTAACACAAGCATACCCGGAAAAAGGAATCCGAGTTCTCCATCCAGGAGTCGAACCGAAAGCCTTCTAGATACTAGTCCAGACACTCTAGCTCTGAGCTACAGGAGATTCGGGGGAGCTATGGTTGTTAAACTACAATGAGCGACAAAAAATAATGTTGAGACTCTTCACAGTAAGATTCGATTTTCGAGCGTCTTGGAAACATTTCCCTTCCCCCTTTCCCTCCCCAAACAATGTTGAATTTTCTACTTTTAAGACTGCACAGATCACAACACCTACACAACATTGAATTGGGTGACCGGGGGTATCAGAGCATTAACGCTAAAAGTTTCTCAACACTACCTTTTTTCAGTCGCCCATTGTAGGTTCTTGAGACAGACATCTTTCATACTGCTAGGGGAAGAATGTCTACGCAAAGTGGCATATTCGCAAAGAAAGCAAATTTGGTGGTGGAATTTTAGAGTGGTAAATATGAGATAAAAGAATCATCTTCTCCTATGCTATTTACCGGACTAAATTCCATTCCTCTCCCTCATATATTACCTTTCTCACTTACATTTTTCTTCTGAATCGCAAATGTTAGAAAAGATGAATATCGAATATAACACAGCTTGTTAGACTTAACATCTACAAGACAGAATGAAGGGTAAGGTAATCCCCCACGGCATAAATCCTATTCCCAAGGTGATCCCTCAAGTTATTTTAGATTGCTGCCAGTTTCTGAAATCCCAGGGGAGTCTCGAAATAACCAATCCTGTGACGCGGATTTTAGTAACGTGGACAGCCCAAGCGGCTTTACATACATTTTTCCTGCTCCCAAAAACATTCACGCATCACACGTGCTAAAATGAATAGAGGAAGAACTGGGTACCATGTCTAAAAATAATTTGAGATGGTTTTACCGTGGGAATAAGGCCTAAATGAAGGATTAACTCTCTTGCGTTCATCCTCTTTTGACGTCTTAACAGTGTTTATGGAAATAGTCACCAAATTTGGAGTTCATTGGATGCAGTTTCTTGAAAGGTTAAACTGAAAAGTATTTAACACTGATAAAGCGTCATAATCAGCTCAGGCCCGGTTCATACGTCGCATTTCTGCCGTGTCGAATTCAATTCAACGAATTAAATTCGACAGAAATTCGACGTCAGAATCGGCTGCCGCATTTCTGCCGCACGTTCGACTGGTCTTGTCGCATTATCCGACAGAAATGCGACAACGATTCAGACGTCGAATTTCTGCCGTGTCGAGTCTAATGCATGCATTATGTTAATGTATTGAGAATGTGGAAATGTTTTCTCGCCAAAGAAAAAGAAGAAACTTGGCCATTCTCGACCCAATGCAACCTGAACATATTGCAACACATTCTGCTCCGTTGTCAGCCTTCTCCTTTTCGTTCCATTGGCGGTCAAGTTTTCGCAAAATTAAAGTCCTTCGTCGCTCAGTATTTTCGTCCGCCATATTGAATACCCTACATTTAAAACATTTTCCGCTGGCCGACATACCCGACAGTACAAATTCTGAATTAAGTGCGAGCAGGAGCCATAATCGGGGACGGAGACCGTAAGCGCGCGCCATTTCTAGTATTGGGGTTGTTCCCATGATATGGGACAATAAT